CCCATAACGAGCTAACCCGATTTATTAGCATCAAATGAGTTATTGTATGACAGTTTGCTAAGAATTATATTATACACATTTATGTAAGAACCGTTACAGAAGGATGTTTGAATATAATACACTTTTTCTGGTTATGTCGATTCATAACTTACATTATACGTACATCAGTGCTTTGTCAAGCAATCTGAACTTAACCTACTGAACACAAGTCAAGCTTCGTTCTGCTTGGTCTTTGTCGTAACAATAATTTGATGTTGTTTACTGGTATTTGCCTTCTAAGGATCGCATATGAATTTGTTATACGTGTTCTAGGTTATGACGTCACGTGGTTACCGATGTTTCGGAGGAACTTAATTTTACCCAGCAAATGGACAAGGTACGTTCATCCAAAACACAAAAGACCACGCAGCGTCATACAATCCAGAAAACCGTAATCGACATTTTCACTGCCTTTTTTAAGTAATGGGATTATTATTGATGTCAGGTGTAAGGCATTCGCTGGCCTACATTTCACCACGCTAGTCGAAAGTGCTTTTAATGCCTGTTTTCATGTCTGCTTCTGGGTATGGGAGCATGTGGTTAGACTCTGTAAATTAGGATGAATAGTAAAGTTGTTCAAGCAAATGGTTTCTTCATGAAGGAGTAAATTTTCTGCCCTAAGCACATAACACTAGACTTTCTTGGAATAGGGCTAACTACTAACGCCTTATTTTCCTTACAGTATTTTCTGTGTCATGAGTCTGATAGGAAATATAGATTAATTATATTAATTACATATTTATATACGTTTTTTCCACTAATTCGGATTTTTACCATGTTAAATATGTATCCCCTCGAAACTTCGTAAAGTTCACCATATTTTACCTGTATGCATTAAATTTATGTGTCTTAGGATAGGGGCAGACACAGGCTTTTGTGAATACGATAATGAACTTTCGGATTTCATGAAAGGCGAGGAATTTCTTCATTAGCTAGGCGTTGTTCAACTTCTGAAGGACTGTTAATCAGGAAGTATTTCAGTTGTGATACGATATGAATATTTCAGATGATATTTAGGTGATTTTTTCTCTTGAAGGAATTACATTTATTTATAATACTCAGGCCTGTATCTCCTACCGCCATCCATTATAATTCTACTAACTGTTTAAGGGCAAAGATTCGCTCGGAATTAAACGCATTTCTCACTACACATAGTAAAATAACAGAGTTACCTTTCTCCAAAAGAATACATTAGCTGTGATAGAACGTTTAAAGTATGGAGGGGTGAAGCTCAGGTGGTGAAGTGTCTTGTTCTAAAGTGCGGGCGGAAGATGCACTAATAAATAATACAGCTGAGAGCTGTAAAAAACATTTTTAGCCAATGGAAGTTTGCTCGCCTACGCACGATATGAGGGAGAACTTGTATGTCACACGCACTACTACGTTAAGTGTATGCAGGCGGCGAGCCCAGTGATCTTGTGAGTGGGCTAATTCCCACACAAGCTTCTAATACTAACAAGCAGCGCCCTTTGCTTGTGAACTTCTGACATTATAAGCTGAGTCGACGGAGAACGGAAGCTTCTTCCTTGGTTTTCGTGAGATATGAGACTGTCGTTGACACACAAATCCGTTCCGTTGATAGACCGTTCTGAGATTGTTTGCCCTTTGTACTTAGGGATTCAGCGATAATTAAGTCTGAAGTAGACGAAGAAATATATACTGAGAGACGAAAATGGCTGTGAATTGAATATAAAGTAAAATGAAATTGTGGTTTAAGAAGAAAGACGTAATGACTGGGAGGCATAAGTAGACATGACTTAAACAGTAGTTGAGTCTGACAAAGTTTCGTCCAGTGAGTGAAGACTACTGACTACGGACTCTACCACCGGGGTTCGACCCCCGCAGCGGCAAAGGATTTTTCTTCTGTCCTCTGGGGCCCGGTCAGCCTCCTGCCCAATGGTTACCGGAATTGAAAGAATGACGTAAATGCGAAACTTATGTTAATGTACATATCGAGGAACTTGGTGATTCATTCAGGACTTCTAGTAGTAGGGCAGCTGACTAATGACCTTGCTAAGTTACAATGGGTTGATCATGCATCTAGGAAAATAGTCAGTATTTTGATGCAGACATCTCATTCCAGCTACATGCCTCCCCCCTGTCCCGCTACATCACCTAATTATGATTTTTCAAATATCCGATTTATTAGATTTTGTACTAATGTGTCTTTTAAATGTAGCTTTAACTACTTCAGATGTATTTTGCGTTCGAAATCGCTATTATTTTAAGTATTCGTAGCTTGAATATCTTATAGTGTAAAGTGATGGGATTTGAACTCGGCCACGCGCAACGCACCCATGGGGTCCACATGGAACGCACCGAGTGGAAAGGCCACGTTTCTGTGGCAGGCGTGAGAACTTTTGACCTTTAAAACGCTGATCCATACATGAATCCCGGATTTAAAGGTGAATTGAACCGAGACACTAGACTCGGTTCAACCTCTTGGTCGCCTTTACGAGTTCCGCTTTCAAGTGCAGTCGAAAACATCTTTGTAAGATTTTATTTCAGTATCGACGACTAACGTTTGCTCTGTGATCCCTCTGAAAGCCGAAGATCGTCTAAATAATATCCAAGAATTCAGCCCTTACTGAAAAAAGGACAATGCTTTCTTTTCACTAACATAAATTAGTTAATACATTTAAAGGAAATAATCGCTGTTTATTCTGACAGTTATACGAAACCCATGAACTCATTTATGACTAGAATACAAATGATTGTTTGAACAGGTGGTACATAAGTATACCTCTGGGATTTAAATGATTGCTTTATCCAAACCACAAAACGGTGTTAATTAATTCCACTGAAATTTTTAAAGCATTTTCTTCAGGTCCCTCGTTTCATTTCACTGACACTGTACGTAACATAGTTTTAAATATTTTCTTGATTACAAGCGAATATCAGGATCTTTATTAAAAGCCATGAAGTATGCA